GCAAACAGGACCTCGGAGTTAAGTTATCAAGAGGGATGTGAACAGGCCGAGGAACTGGTGACACACTGGTACAATCTGTTCACAATGCCCAAGTCAGCATAAGCTTCTTTAGGCACATCTCAACAAGTGAAAACCCCAAATATGCACAAGTTGAAGTGAATGCTATCACTCCAAGTTTTTAATAAGTCAACAGCAATGGAAATACTTCAGAGTCACAATGCTCTCCTTCCTCCCTGCCCTAGGAGAGCAGGTGTAGGCAACACAGGTCAGAACTCAGGGACAATAATGGTACCCACAGCAGATCAAACCAACCCTTGGTAGAAGACATTAGAAAGGTTCAACTCAGTAAGATGTTAATAGATTCTAAGACTTTTAAGAAAACTATGCAGGCAGCTTCAGTAACAAACCTTGGCAAGGGACAAGAAATACATGACAAAATAGGACATGAATCATTAAGGTATCTAATCTATTCTTTTGACATAAAAAGAACCCCTGAGACCTCCAGCCTTAAGCTTTCAGAACTAAGTCAGCTCCCAGGTACAATGAGAAGAAAACCTGCACGTCTGTCATTTGACAAGACTTGAAAGCAGGTTTTGTTCTGTTGTAAATCTGAACAGTGATAGTTCGAGCTGCTTCTGTTGAAATTTTAATGAAAAAAAAAAGAGAATGTAAGGTGTTTTTTTCCTCTTTAAATATTTAGTGACACTATCAATATGAAGACAGTTTGAAAGGCTCTTTAGGTTCTCTATTATTCAACTATGTTTACAGTTACATGGTGAAAAACTGCAAGATTCCTTTCCCAACCTCAGCTTGAAAACTGCCAAAACGTAGCATGGAATGGAGGGAGCTTAGTTTATCCTAACATAAAATAACACATATCACACCAGGGAAGCATGGATAATTTAGATACTGCTTTATTTGAAGACAAATACAGTGCTAAAAAAATTGGGATAACAGGTTGGAAATAGCTGCAAGAAATCTTCAAGTACTGCAAAGAGGGATGTTCATCTTCTTCCCCTGTCAGGAATGTTCAGTTGCGAGATGAGTTGTAGAAATTGAAAATTTTAGTCACACTTGCAACTAATTTTCCCCCTGGAAAAGGAAACTGAAACACTCTTGATCTTCCTGGGCTCCAGGCAGCTGAACAACTTAACGAATTGCTCTTTCTGAGCCTGCCATTTCAGACCATTTTTCTCTCAGTAGGTCTGAGAAGACACACAGACTGGGGGCCTGGGTGACACTCACAATGTCCAGCCAGGTGTTTGCATCTCCTGTTAAGCAGTAAAACGAAGGGATTTTTGTAATAAGGCTTACAGATCATCATAAACACAACAGTAGTACTTTTCTTAAGAATAGCCAGTTATTTCATTATTTCAGATTAATGCACAGTGATATCTTTGCACTTAACATTCTTCAAAACATACAAATATTATAGTGAGAAAAGGACTCCAGAAAAAGCAAAAAAGCCAATGCTATCAGCTAACAGAGGCCTGCACTGCATCTCTTCACATTTCACAGAATCATAGAATATGCTGAGTTGGAAGGGACCCACAAAGATCATTGAAGTCCAACTCCTGGCCGGGCACATGATCACTCCAAGAATCAGACCACATTCCCAAGAGCTCCTAACACCTCAGGTTTCAGTCTGTAAAGTTTGAAGACCCATGTTTTATAAATTCTTATCTTGTCCAGTTTAGAGTCACAGCTACACACTTACATTCAAAAAAGGTTTTTCAACCTAATCAGAATTCTTCTCCAACTGTCCTGTCAACCTCTGCAGTGTATTAAAGGATTATAAGGAAGTCATCACAAATCACTCAGATTACTACAAGAGGCAATAACCACCTATCTTGGATTTAAGGATTTATATGAATTTCCTCGACCGACTTTAAGAATTTAAATACTTACTTTTTCCTGATATTAAAAGGAATTTTGCTGAGATTAAATCCAGATCTGTGGAGGTAGTGTTAAAAGTTTAAACTACTTATTAAGAGATTAATAAAGGCCCTTCTCTCCAAAGTTATTAGTCTAATTCCAACCAGGACAGGATTATCAGGAATCACTGTCATCAGGAATCAATGCTTTTTAAACAACAGTGCCATGGCATTTCCTTTTGGAAGTGGATATGTACCATCAGCAGAGGCCCAGAACAAAGTGGTGGGAGATGAGGAGAGTCCTCCTGCCAGGTCCTCCTGCTGCTCCTGCAGCTGGAACCTTGCCCACCCTGTGGTACACTGAGCCAAAGAGCACGGCCTCCAGTTCTCCAGAACTGCTGTTTCCATAAACACTTACCATTTTTATTTAGGTTTCAGTTTTTTAAGATGTGAACTTCACTGATCCAAACATGGAATTGAGTCGTATGGGCTCCCTGGAGACATCTAGAAGTGTTTAAAATGTCCCATGATTATGACAAACTTCTCACAAGTAAATGCTAACCAGTTCTTTGTGCAGTATTCACTGTTGCCTACGATCTTTCTATAGGATGAACCTCTTACCCAGCTATTGCATGATCAACAGAAAGGTCATAACACTTTTTTTAATAAGAGAAGCTGAGCTACCGAAACAGTTGTGTTATCTCCAACCAATTGCATTTAATGAACGTTCTCTTAATTTTTTTTTAAAACCAAAATGTAAATAGAGCATGTTATTCTGGATCACTGTGGTAGCTGTCTTTAAATGGACATAATATCTCAGCAGAGGAAGGCTAATTCCTCTCAAAACCAGAATTAATTTGGTTGGAGAATCTATAAACATTATCTCATGCTTCTTTTTAGTCATCTTCCCTACAGATTTGGTAACAGCTTTGGTATCTTCAGTGCCCTTTTTGTAGATGTCAAAAGGAGCAAAACTTTGGATTTAAATATTAATTTTTCTTCAACCAAACATTTGTTAATTCTGTAGTCTGGTAGCTGAAACCAGGACATAGACAATTCAGAATTTTTTAAAAAATATACAACCAGAAAAAAACATGAAAGAACTGCAACCAAAGTTTAAAAAAGTGCTTATTTCTAGCTCTGATTGTTCCACATATATTTATACAATTATTTGGGAGACATCTAAGCATGTGAAGGTGATAAAAAGTAAAACAAGGAAATACAAAGCAGGAGACACAGAAGTCAAGATTTTATAAGGAATGACGAGACAGTAGGGTTACTCTCGGGCATGCGGGGAGGGGGGCAAGACACACTGATTCCTTTTATCAGCATCCAGCATTTTTGCTGCAAGACAGCACTCTAAAAGTAACAGCTCAGCCTATGAGGTTAATACTAACTGACTTGGCATTCTCTTCTGCAGAACATTTATCCTGAGAACTGAAAAACCCGTAAAACATCCCAGAAGTCAGAATATACAGAGAGCTGAGCGGAGCCAGCTGTCCTCATTCCTGGAGTCCATTTGATTTTCTTTTTTCCTCCAGGAGAAAAAAGTTTATTTTATTCTGATATATTGCTTTACTGGTCCAGCCAAGGCTCACTGTTCTCCCTTGGTGAAAATCCAAGAGATTGTTTGGATAAAGGCTATAAGAATAACTGTCCCATATTTGTCTGTACAAAATGAGCAAGATTTTAGAAAAATGGAGGCTCCAATATAATTTTCTGGAAATGAACAGGCCTCCAACTGAGGTATGAACACTTTTTTTTTTTTTAACCTCCCACCAGCCACCAACAGCATTATTTACTTTTCAGAAACAAGGAACCTGCTGTTCCTTGACCTCTCATTAAGAAAGTGGTCTCTGACCACAGTCTTTAAACAAATCACATTCCATTTTTGGAATTAGACCATTTTATGATAATAGTCTCACTTATCACTTACAAGGCACAATTACTGTCCTACCCATACAGCCAGGTAGTAATGAAGTTGTTTGTTTTAACAAATACATGCAAATTGCAATCTACAGGCTCACTTAGTAAACTGTAATGATGAGATAGATAAGATACAAAACCATGTAATTCTGAATTCCTAAGTGGTCTTAACAATTTGCAACAAAAACCAAATATTTAGCTCTAAAAGTTCACAAAACCTAACTTAAAAATAATGCAATTTACCACATAGAAATGGTTTTCTTCCTCAGAAGGTGAGTAGCAATAAAATGAAAGAAAGGCACAATTTCTGATCGACATAAGGAAACAAACATGTTCAACAGCATTGTTTCCTGCATTTCCCTGTATTCCATATCCAAATCTTTAATAAAAAACCAGTGCCATCTGAGCTTTTTCTCCTCCAGACACACAGTGGACATGGACAGCTCAGCCTCTACTGCACTGCTGATTATCCAGTAAGACTAGAGGGTCCCCTCCTATAAAGTGCCCTATGACTACAGACACCATACACTGAGGTAACAGGTCATCCTGGAGTCAGAGGTCAGCATAGATAATACAGGCTAATAATATCATCTTCTCACAGTGCCTTTGAATCAACAAAATTCAGTTTCAAGAACAGAAATATGCAGCTGTTACCTTTAAATAACAGACACACTACTTGGCGTTCTCATTCCGATTTCCCACAAGCATATGAGGAAAAAAATGGGTTCATGCTGCTTCAGCCTTTGAATTTAAATAGTTACAGTGAATCTCAAGACAGGCCAGTATGGATCTTCGGAGAGTGCTGCCTGCATGCCCAGCTGAGGCATGTACATCACTCCCACACGGCCACACATGTGAGATTCAGAGGGAAGAAAGCACAGAAATCACGACCTCCCTGAAGTCATCTAATTCTGCTCACAGATAAACATATTGCATATATAAACAATGAACACAGGCACAAATGGTTAAGAAAGTAATAATTAAAAGGAAGCCTAAAGGAATAATGAAGTAATTAAACATTTAAAATTGCTTTAAATAGCTCACCTTGCTTCAGAACTAAAATGCTGGCAAAGTCTTTGTGAAGTAGATTTTATAAATTCTACCATTTCGACAAGAGACTTTGTCATTAACGCTTAGTACATACAAATAAATTATTCATTAGTAGAACTCAATAGTACATACAAATAAATTATTCATTAGTAGAACTCAAATTTGCATTTTATTATACTCCGTAAAATATACAGGATTCTTGAAGTACTGAAAGAGTGCAGGTAAATACAGTATTCAAGCAGCCACTATTTCTATGTACATGCTCATTAATTTTTCAAAAACCCCACAAAATTATCAAATAGATCAAAATATTGTCCCGTGTTTCCACACTATGTTCAGAAAAGCAGCTGTAATTTACAAACGTTTCCAGTTTCACAATACAAAAAAAAAAGGATAAAAATGAAATTGGAATCGGTTTGTAGTAATTTATTTGTACTTTGCCAGGACATGCAAGGATTCCTTGCATGTACATAAACAAATTCACTTGAAAAGTAACAGTTATAGTTAAAGCAGAGCCAAATAAAGTAAATATTCATATTTAACAGACAAAACTTCAGCTTACTTATGTCAGTTTTTCATTCTTCAGGCAATTAAAAAAAAACCAGAGTAGTCTGTTATAAATTAAAAAAAATATTTGGGCAAGTCTGAACTACGTTACAGGGACCTGTTTCTGCTGTTTATTTTCTAAATGGAGCACAACAAAGATACACAGCTCTTCCCACAGACCAGACACTGTACTTTTTTCTCTAATAGGGAAATATACTTTTAAATTCACCTCCCCCCCCACTTTGTAACTCCGGGATTAAAAAAAAAAAAAAAAGGTGATAGGGATATACAATTTTAATCTTACATACAAATTTATGATGTAAGGAAGTGGATAAATTATTGAAAAGAACTCTCAATCACAACAGGGTTATCGAGACATTTCAATTCATTTTACGCATTTTCATAGTTTCCAAGTTACTCGTGTATTTTTAAATTAAGAAAAATCTCAATCCAAAACCCAAGTTAAAAAATCCCTAAAACTGTGCAACAATTACTGCTTCCCTCCCACATCTCCCACCCCTTCCCTTGTTTATTACACTGTACATTTTTCACCCTGACTTCACCTTGTTAGCTGGTTTAACTTCAGTATTATAAAAGTATGACAAGATCATTTTCATTTCATCTAAACGAAAAAGAAAATAAAACTTAAAAGTACATCTGCTTTCTTTCATGGTACATTTAATAGTGTCGGAAGGCTTTCAGAGAATTAAAAAAAATAAAATTCAACATTTAAACCCAAATCTAAGCTTCTTTTTCAGAAGTAATTAACGTTTGGTTAATTACTCAATTAACCAAATTTGAGTTACAACTTCTCAAATAACCTATTCCAGTTTTCACAAAAATTTATTTAATTAAAAAAATCTTTAAGTTATTTGGTCCTTTGGCAATTTGCAGCACAAACAATGCCTACTGTACCAAACTCATTTATTGCCTTCAAAATGGTTTTAGTTTTATTGAGAATATTTAAATCTAGCATCCTTTGTGTTGAACAATAGTGTTGTTCATTTACATCAAGTCGGGTGCCCAGTCTGCAGGAATTACTCCCGGCACCAGAAACAGAATGGTATTAATACCGTTAAATAAAACAGTTTTGACATTCTTTTTTTTTTTTTTTGCCATGGATTCCAAGTACTTATTCAAGAATTCATGCTTCTTCTGCAAAATATGCTCTTAAAAATCTTCCTAGAGTCTCACAGATTTTTTTTTTTATGCAACCACAATAAAAACATCTTCTCAAAGGTCTGTCCTCTTTCTATATTCAAACACCACCAGCTTTCCAACAGCACAAGTCTGACCTTCCAGCGTGAGGGTTCACTCCTCAGACCTACAAAAAGTAGCTTCTAGTATGTCTCAGAATCTGAGTCATTGAGCTCGTCGTCTTCTGTATATGGATAGCCACCTTCCCTGCCAATGTTGTTGAAAGTACAGTAAGAGCTGTGGTCACTCCTCATGATTGGCAAGGAATCAAAGGTGACAGTTTTTGAGGTGTTGGTGTAATGATTAATGGCATTGAAGGTAAGTGCAGGTAATGTGCTGCTTGATGAAACAGGCATCATGGTGGCCAGAATGAGAGCCAGGCAATCGGCCACATCCTTATTGGGTGCGCAGGCCAAAGCCGGTGTGTAACCTAGGAATTCAAGAAAAAGCAAAACCTTCACTTAAAATAAAGACAACGCAAAAATTTCTCCAAGATCATATCATCTTTCAGCTGCAAAAGTATTTTATATTGCTTAGTTCCACACTGTTTAAAAAGTAAAAAAAATTTAATGCATTATCAATTAGGATTTTTAAACTTCTGGTTACAAAAACAAGCTCAAAGTTAATGGGCTTTGCAACAAAGATATAATTGCTTTGTTAAGCACAGTTAGATACTTTAGGCCAGCGAGAAAAGCCTGGATCTGAAAACGGTGAGGGAGTCACCTGGCTGAGGAGAGACAAGTAATGGCAGCCAACAGTGGGTGAAGGCATTCACTAAAGAGCCACTGCAGAAATCAGAGCTCATCGTGTTAAATGTTTCTTCATCCAGAAGCTTCCACCACAGCTGCTCGTCACAGACAGTGAATTTAATAATGCTGCCTTATCTCAGTAACAAGCTGGCTAAAGCAGCAGGGACAGTTAATTGAAAAGGCAGAGTATACACTGTCAATTAACCTATACTTTATTACAATATACAGTAATGTAAACTATAAAGCCAAAGCCTAACTTTATTTTGCAAGATATCAATTAAGAAATCCACAGAAGTTTGAGGAAATGCCAGCTGGGTTAGCAGACTAGGACATGCAGAGACACCTCTTGGTTGCCCAACTGGTCCAGACAAACTACTGTGACAACCCCTAAATGCAAGAGGTCTCGGGACATGGAATGACCTGCAGTCAAGTCATAAATAGCTGTGACATCTCTTCTGGGTAACCATGGCTCTAATAATCCTCAATACTGCTCCTTCTGCAGCTTCCCCCATTCCCTGTACTTGCCTCTATTCATTCAATGTCAAGAAAAACGCTTCAAATTCTCAGTGGAGATCCGTGCATTGCTTCTGTTTCAAGCTTAACCATTCAGCATGGCACCTGAGGGTAAGTTATCTACAGCACGAGGCACCACACTTGGTGGTGACACCGGCAGCTCTAGAAGCAGGGCAGTCATGTATGTACAACCACAGATCACAGCTTATTCTCCTGATCAGAGTGGAACAGGTTCCCTCTCCCTGGCTCCACCCAGCAGCGTGTGCCCAGATCAGCCTGCAGCACCTTCCACTGTGTGTGACAGACATTCCCACAATGAGCTCAATAGGAAGATGCATGTTCAGGTACGTGTGGGAGTCTGCAGTCCTGTGCATTACCCCCAGTCCACAACTTAAAGGTGTACAACATCCAAGTAAAAAGCACACAAGTAATTTTAATTAACAGATGGCTTTAAAAGCAAAGAGTATGATGGACTTCTATCCAGACCTTAGGAAGGCATGGAAAACAAGGCAATGCCTGTTTTACCAATGAATGTTTCAACTACTAAGGAATCATCTTTATTGTAGAAGTAGATCCAGGTCAGGTTTTAGGATAGAGCTCGGGAGCAGTTATTGTATTATACAATTGCATGTAAGTTTTAAAGAAATAGGCACATTATGGAAAATAATTGTAGCTAGAAATTCAGAAAACAGCAAGCAGGGGACAGTCTTGCAGTTGAACTATTATTTGCTCGGGACAGACCTTGTGCTTGATGCTTGGAACAGAGCAAGACAACAGTCCCTGCCCAAAGGAGCATACAATCCAAGGAAACACAGATAATTCAAGCACAAAACGCACCAGCTGACCATGCGATAGGGCCGTACAGAAGTGCAGCGCAGCAGATGTTTTCATTGTTAGTAAGGTACCACAGCACTTAAACAGCTCAGAGTTAACAGTGACAGTCTGCAGAAGAGATACATTTTGAGAGGATTCAGAAGCAAGGGCCAGAGCTTGCCACACTTGGATGATGACTGCATTTCAGGCATGTAAGGCAGAACAGAAGGCTCAGAACTGATACCCAGATGCACACCATTTAATATCTACAATTGCTGGAGGTTGTACGAAGGTAAGATGACACAAAAAGTAAGTTTATTCCAGTTGGTCATATTAAACACCATTTCTTTCCCTAATGTAATTTGATAATAGTTTAAAGAAGAAAAACAAGCAGTCACCTGCTACCTTTTTAGTTTCTTTTTGTTTGGCTCCCTCCCCCCCTTTTAAAGACTGCTAAGATCTTGAGTATTCATACTTACGTTCCTTCTGGAACAGAGCATCCCAGTTCATCATAAAAAAGGCCAATGTAAAGATCAAACAGAATACTTGCTTTTGTTAAAAGTTCTTTGTTCTCTAAAAACCGTGTTTATATTAATATTCAGTTATAGGTCTTAAGCTCCTGGCTTTCATAAGCAGGAATGAAATATCACAGTTTTATTCTTGCCTTAGACATAGCTTGCACCACGAAAGTCTGACATCTGTGTCCTCTACCACTTTGTTTTGGCCTATATTAATTTAAATTTAAAAGAATGAATTATATTTTTATGTCACTTAACTGTAAAATGATCATTCATAAGTCAGGGCAACAATAGTTATAAATATTTTAAATTTTAAGAGTATGTTGGTAAACATATCGACTCCACTGAAATACTCCTACTCAATTCTGGTACAATGTTTCCCATATTCCGTACTTGTTGTACCTGCATAAGCCTTCACAAAACAACAAAATTACTATCATCATTTGTAGATGGGACAACAGAAGCACAGTGAGCTGAGGCAGCCTCCTTGCAGAACAGAAAAAGGAGCCTGTGTGATGGACACTGAATTAAGACTAGGGCTCCCCCTGCCCAAACACAGAGCTGCCCCCTCCCTACCCTGGGGGTTGAAAGTCTCCATGAAGACAGCTACAGGAAAATCAGAGGGTTATTAATGCAGTGCAACAAGAGTTCCCAAGATAAACTCAAGGAAGTGTTACACTGGAGAAGAGATGAGAGTCTGAGGAACTAGTCATCTTGTAAGCACTCGCAGAAAAATTCCTTCCAGAAAACTGGAACTCCAATATAAACTAGAATACAATGCTTGGAAAAGAACTAGACAAAAAAAGACAACAAAAACCCCAACACTCAGAAAACCTCAAAGCAAACCCTCTCCCCCCTTTTTTTTTAAGAAAGCTTGAAAGGCCAACGATAACTGTAATGATGAATCTAGAAAGAGAAACCTTCATACTATGGAGTCTTTAGAGAATGCCTCCTCTCACTGCTGTGGTGCACATGCATTTGACAAACAGGAAATATAGCTAGCCTAGAAAGTTAAATAGACTACAGAACAAAAATAAAATTGAGAAGTTGGTTGAGTGACCAAAAGTAAAACTTCATATGGTGTCAAATGAAAGAAAAAGCTAGTAATTTCTTTTAAGACAGGTAAACTTACATAAATAATGTCAAATTCAACAGTATTTTGCAAATGCAAGTGATCTAAATTTCATCATGATTGGTGTGGAAACATGGGAAAAGAACTGAAAGATGTGAATAAGAACTGATACAGAACTGAGAATGAACCCTCAACATGACTGCTTTTGGAAAGTATACTGGACAGTTAATTTGCTTTTTCAGTTGCATTTACTCTTTTAAGAACCAAGAAGATTAATTTTTTCCTGACATTAATTCTTAAACCAAAGTGATCTCACCACATTAACAAAAGCAGTGTGACTTCAAATTTAGAGTTTTAAATATCTTATAAATTATTTATAAACTGAAATGCAGGTAATTGGAGAGACATTGGGTTTTTTCAAAGCTCATATTTTTCAACAATGATTATAGCTCAGATCCAGCAGCAGAGGACTCAATTTATACAGCTGTAGATACAAAAAGGGACTGCTTGCAAAAAGTCAATGCAGCTTTTACAGAAAGGGACAATTTCAAAGACAAAAAGTGGATCATCACTCCATAACAACAAAGGTCCTGCTGGTTACATGTTCCATATATCAAGACATTCTTCCATGCAAAACAGTGAAACTTTCTAAAATTAAAACTAAATTACCATTTAATCTAATTCTATCTGAAATGCCAAACTTGTGTGCCATTTCTGAATAAGATCTCTGAACTTATCTGGACTATGCTAAAGTAAGAGAATGTCAGTGTTGTGATCCAAAATATTCCAGTGCGTATTTCTTCAGTCAGAAAAAGAATTCCTGGTGAATATTCTCAAGGCTGCTTAAAATTTTATAAACAAAGCAATTGCTAATAGAAAGAAAAGAACCACAGTGAAAAAAAGATAACACTCAGTTACTTTAAAATTTAAAATATGAACAGAATTAAAAAGAAGATTTTTAGATTCCCAGGCTGCCAGAGAACTTTGACACAAATGTTTTTCTTCTGTTATGTCAGAGATCCAAGGGATCTTTGTCTTACAAGGGACTGGCTGGTTGCACATCAGAAGCCCACAAAGATGCAAAGTTCTCCAGTCAGCATACATGTGATAAGAAACAGAAATAAAAAAGATATATTTTCCAATCTTTTAATTTTAGGGAGTTTCATTTAGCAGTTACCCCTGTCCCCTAATTTAGGCAAGGAATGATCTTTAAGTCACTCATGTGACTTTACACAGTGCAATCTGAGAAACACACAGAGAAAGTCACTATGAACATAAAGAGAGGAAAAAACTTTTCAAAGTGGAAATATAATTATAACTATTAATTAGGCACATGCCTTCTGGAAAAAAACCCAAAGGAAACAAACAAAAAATCCAACAAAAAGCAATCCACTCCCCAGTCCCAGTTACGGCTTTCATTTAAGACACATTGGGGTATGGCATAAGAGATGGAGCACAGTTTCTGAGGACCACAGATGTCTTACATGAAAACACGCAAATCAGTCAGTAGATCTAGTTTTCTTTTGTTCTTACAAGGTGTATGATTTATTCTCATGATAAAACAGTTAATTTTTCTTACTTCTATGTGCAAAAAAACTCCAAAAAGCCAGAAGCTTGAGACCAGTAACTGAAAGCTGCTAATCATACTTGATATTTGCTTTTAAAAGCTAACCCTGATATACCTAGTGTGACAGAATGAATAGCAATTCAATCCAGCTTCTTAACAGCTGAGAGTTATATTTTACATCAAACACTATTTTTTTTTGACCATTTTTGGTATGCCACAACCAGTGCATTTCTAGGTGCATCATAAAACTACATTTATAGTGCATCATAAAACTGCAAATGAAAACCAAACACTTCTAGGCCATGACCCGCATAGTTCTGAAAAGTTTTCACTATCCTTATACTTCTGCTGCTTTGCTAAAATGATCCATCACCAATGCATTTTCTTCTTTGGAGGACCTACTGCAAGGCTCATATGAAGCTTCCACAGAGTTATTGCTTTTCAGGGAGTTGAGTTCAGAACCACAGTTCCTTACAGGGAAACAAAGTTAAATTTTTCTTACCATTTTCATCTACAGCAAGTACACTTGCTCCCTTCCCTAAAAGCTCTTGAACAACAACCGTTAGTCCATTTCGAGCAGCAACATGCAGAGGTCTGTGAAGACAAGCAAACTCATATATAAACCTTAGAACAAGTTATTAAGTAAGATAGGTAGCTTGCATCTAGTTAGATGCAGTACTTATACTCCTGTGTTATTCACACATTATATAAATATCGTAGATATAATAATTAAGATGGGAAAAGCAGCCGATCTCTTTTCTTATTGCAAAGAAACTACAATACCAATTGTGAACTTTCTTCTTTTTATGGCAGCACACAGCGAGGAAGCAGTTGCTAGCAAAGACCTGCCTGCTTATGGACTTTATTATGTTAAAATGTCAGAAACGCCTCGCGCCCTACTGTTGATAAATCCTTCACTCAACTGTTGTAACAGATATTTTCACATCTGAGAGTTACTGCATATCACTGCATCAATCACTGGAACCCTAACAGCCGGATGGTAGTCATATTTTATTGCATGTAAATGCTTACAAGAGATACAAAAGCATTTAATCAATCTGCCTTTTAGAAACCACTATATTCCACTGAGATTAGAGATTAAAAAAATATTTCACAGTATAATGCATGAAGCAAGAAAAGCAGATTACTTTTCAAAACTTCAAACTATTAACCATAAATCAATTTTGTGTTGCCTTGATCTATGAAGGAAAGTGTAGCTTAATCTCAAATATTCTATCTTTTTCAAATGCAAGTTTTTCAGAATTGGTTCCCACTGGCTTAAATAAAACCCTACCATCACTCAGCAGGAAACAGGATAAACAGCTTACTTCCCCTCTGCTCTATATTACTCTTCATTCATTCTAAGATTCTTAAAGTTGTTCAAGTTAACTGTGAACTGTATTTTGAGTTGGAAACAAGTGCCTTACCTAGA